TGAGGTCAAAGTGCTGAGGAAGGTTCTTCCTGCTAAGTTTTTAGAAGGCAAGGCATTAAGGAGCTACAGTAAGTTTAATGTGATTTTAGAACTTATTCATACACATAGTTGTTTTTTTAAATGTTATTTTGTACTTTGTATGCCGCCCAGGTAGGGGCAGCATGTACAGTAATTGGAAAACAAATACATTCACTTTCTCCCTCTCCCATTTCCAAGAGTCTGGGACATTCTCTACTCAGTAAGCAAAATCTGAAGGTCTTCGCATTACCTGTTTTTTAAATCTCTCCTCATAGTGCCTGATGTTATACTTCTGCAAACCTGCTTCCTATCCAGATGATTGCACATGGTTGCACATGGGTCATCTGTACTTTAATCAAGTTGACTATCACTTTGGCAACATGTAAGCCCAATGTTCATATACCCCTTGTGTCTTTTTGCCCTGGAATTAACTCTAGGGGAGAGGAGGGATTTTTGAATCAGTAAGGAAAACAAATGGGAATTTGTTTCATCTATTCCAATAATTTATTCTAACAAGATTCGGTGTCCAAGGAAGAATGGCTAGGTTAGGCACTGCAAGGAAATTCACAGGTAATAAGTATCTGTGCTTGTAGGATACACATAATGCATGTATTACTTCCTCAGCATGATCGTATAATTGCTGCCCAAAGAATGATATTCTTGAGCAATAGTTCTAAAGGAGAATCCAAACTAGATAAGAAGAAACATCAGTTCAAATAGCTTCATGGGATAAATATAAAGAAATAAAGCAGTAAGTGTCCTCAGACACCTTCAAATGAAAACTGATTTTTACCACTCTATTATCCACCTTAATGCCTCCAGAATACAGGTAGTCCTTGTTTAGCAACCACAGTTGGGACCAGCAATTTAGTCAATAGGCAAAGCAGTTGTCAAGTAAAATGTGACAGTGCTCATGATTTTATTTCAGCTTTCCTTTGTTGTACAAACCTGCAAAGATCATAATTGCAAGACTTGGTTGCAAAGTTACTTTTTGTCACCATTGTAACTGCAAATGGTCACTAAATAATGAGGCAGTCACTAAACAAGGACTACCAGGACTATCTGTATTGAATCATGAAACTGTTTCTCCCATTCTACCTCTCAGAAACTCACGGGATGTTAACAGGATCATCTCCATATTCAATCCCATTCAAAAAGCATCTTCCCACTGGCTTGCAGGAAATTATCTTTACCAGCTTTCCTTACAGTTAAGCCCTTGTTCTGTCTGCAATTTCATCTAGTCCATTTTAGATTGGATTCTTGGATAATCATGGCCATGAATTCTTGATTTTCAAGCCATTAATTCCCCAGTGCTTCTCTCTTCCTGTTCTGAGGCTGTTTTCAAATGTTTGTTTCTGCTTTCATTTGTCTGATTAGAGAGCAATGAATATTAATTCATTCTCAGTAAATGATTATTGAGAAGCTATGACACAGTTGCCTGATACTCCAACCAGAGCATGATATAATTCTGCATTCCCTCAGAAACTGCCCTTGGAAAAAGTCAGTCTTTTGCCTTAAAGCCCCCCTTTTCTTTATCAATTTAAAGAGACCATGTTCTGAACTTCAGATGTTGAATCACACTGTGTTCCAGCTCCATCACTGACTGGCCAAATCTTGTGTTGTGCAACAGGGATGAGTCCTAAACCTGTCACAATGAAATGAGATTTAATAAGCCAGGTCGTAGACCCTGAGCTAGCCATCTCTGAATAACTCTCTTAGAGTATTACTATAACATTACAGCTCCTTCATGGATCCTGCCTTGCCATGGTGAAGGGTCTTGTGTAGCGCAATGAAGCTATGAGCTATGCCATGCAGGACCACCCAACATGTCATAGCAGAGAGCTCTGACAAAATTTGATCCACTGGAGAAAGAAATGGCAACCCACTCCAGTATCTTAGCCATGAAAACCCCATGGACAGTACCAAAAGGCAAAAAGATATGACACTGAAAGATGAGCTCCTCAGGTCGGAAGATGTCCCATATGCTACTGGGGAAGAGCAGAGGGCTAGTACTAGTAGTGCCAGAAAGAATGAAGCGACCAGGTCAAAGCCAAAAGGATGCTCAGCTGTGGATCTATCTGGTGGTGAAAGGAAAGTCCGATGCTGTAAAGAACTATACTCCATAGGAACCTGGAATGTAAGATCCGTGAATCAAGGGAAGTTGGACGTCAAGGGAAGTTGGTCAAACAAGAGATGACAAGACTGAACACTGACATCTTAGGAATCAGCAAACTAAAATGGTTAGGAATGGGTGAGTTTAATTCAGATGACCATCAGGTATACTACTACGGGCAAGAATCCCTCTGAAGAAGGAGTAGCCTTCATAGTCAATAAAAGAGTAGGAAAAGCAGTACTGGGATAAAATTCCAAAAATGACAGAAGATCTCAGTTCAAATAGAACACCACAGTAGTCCAAGTCTATACCCCAACCACTGGTGCTGAAGATGAAGAAGTTGACCGGTTCTATGAAGCCCTACAATATCTTCTACCAAAAATGATGTCTTTATCATCATGGGGGATTGGAATGCTAAAGTAGGAAGCCAAAAGATAACTGGAATAACAGGCAAATTTGGCCTTGGAGTACAAAATGAAACAGGGCACAGGCTGATAGAATTTTTTCAAGAGAATACGATGGTCATAGCAAACACTCTTTTCCAACAACCTAAGAGGTGGCTCTACACATGGACATCACCAGACGGTCAACACAGAAATCAGATTGACTATGTGCTCTTCAGCCAAAGGTGGAGAAGTCAGTACAGTCAATAAAAACAAGACCAGGAGCTGACTGGGGCTCAGATCATGAGCTTCTCATTGCAAAATTTAGGCTTAAATTGAAGAAAGTAGAGAAAAGCACTAGGCCACTCAGGTATGAACTAAATCATATTCCTGATGAATATACAGATCTGATAGACAGAGTGCCTGAAGAACTATGGATGGAGGTTCGCAACATTGCATAAGAGGTAGCAACTAAAACCGTCCCAAAGAAAAAGAAATGCAAGAAAGCAAAATGGCTGTCTGAGGAAGCTTTACATATAGCTGAGGAAAGAAGGGAAGCGAAAGGCAAGGGAAGAAGAGAAAGATACACCCAATTGAATGCAGAATTCCAGAGAATAACTAGAAAAGATAAGAATGCCTTCTTAAATGAACAGTGCAAAGAAATAGAAGAAAACAATAGGGAGGACCAGAGATCTCTTCAAGAAAATTGGAGATATGAAGTGAAGGTTTCATGCAAAGATGGGTATGATAAAGGACCAAAATGGCAGGGACCTAACAGGCAGAAGAGATTAAGAAGTGGTGGCAAAATTACATAGAAGAACGAGCTTAATGTCCCTGATAATCATGATGGGGTGGGTCATTGACCCTGAGCCAGACATCCTAGAATGTGAAGGGAAATGGGCCTTAGGAAAACTGAGCAACAACAAAGCTAGTGGAGGTGACAGTATTCCAGCTGAGCTATTCAAAATCTTAAAAGACAATGCAGTAAAAGTGCTACACTCAATATGCCAGCAAATTTGGAAACTCAACAGTGGCCACAGGAGTGGAAAAGGTCAGTTTACATTCCAATTCCAAAGAAGGGCAATGACAAAGAATATACCATACCGCACCATTGCACTCATTTCACATGCTAGCAAAGTTATGCTCAAGATCCTACAAGCTAGGCTCCAGCAGTATGTGGACTGAGAACTTACAGAAGTACAGGTAGGATTTTGAAGAGGCAGAGGAACTAGAGATCAAATTGCCAACATACACTGGATCATAGAGAAAGCTGGAATACCAGAAAAACATCTACTTCTTGACTATACTAAAGCCTTTGATTGTGTGGATCACAACAAATTGTGGCAAGTTCTTAAAGAGATGGGAGTATCAGAGCATCTTATTTGTCTCTTGAGAAACCTATATGCGGGTCAAGAAGCAATAGTGAGAACTGGACATGGAACCACTGATTGGTTTAAAATTGGGAAAGGAGTCTGGCAAGACTGTATACTGTTGCCCTGCCTTTTTAACTTGTATGCAGGGCACATCATGAGAAAGGCAGGGGTAGATGAATCAAAAGTTGGAATTAAGATTGTCGGGAGAAATATCAACAACCTCAGATATGCAGATGATACCACTCTAATGGCAGAAAGTGAAGAGGAGCTCTTGATGCAGGTGAAGAAGAAGAGTGCAAAAGTTGGGGACTGCAGCCAAGCAATTAAAAGATGCTTGCTCCTGTGGAGGAAAGCTATACCAAATCTAGACAGCATACTAAAAAGCAGAGACATCACCCTGCCAACAAAAGTGTGTATGGTTTTCCCAGTTGCAATGTATGGCTGTGAAAGCTGGACCATAAGGAAGTCTGAGCATCAAAGAATAGAGGCCTTTGAACTATGGTGCTGGAGAAGACTCCTGTGAGTCCCTTGGACTGCAAGGTGATCAAACCGGTCAGTCCTAGAGGAGATCAACCCTGACTGCTCTTTAGAAGGCCAGATCCTGAAGATAAAACTCAAATACTTTGGCCATCTAATGAGAAGGAAGGACTCACTGGAGAAGAACCTAATGCTGGAAACGATTAAGGGCAAAAGAAGAAGGGGACGGCAGAGAATGAGGTGGCTGGATGGAGTCACTGAAGCAGTTGGTGTGAGCTTAAATGGACTCCGGGGGATGGTAGAGGAGAGGAAGGCCTGGAAGAAAGTTGTCCATGGGGTTGTGATGGGTTGGACATACCTTCACAACAAACAACAACAAATAACATGGCAGAGAAGGAAATTGTTACCCATCATTTTGTGATCCCTGAAGCAGAAGTATGATCCATTGCTCTCCAACATAAGAATAAGAACTGGGTTTTTAAAAGCACAGCTCCATTCGGCAGCTGGCAATATTTTGCAGTTTTCTTCAAATTCAGGCCAGGGCATGTATTCTATTATACTAATAAAAAAGAAACAATCTTTGAAGACCCCAAAATCAACCCTAATAATTGCCTGAGCAAGAAGGTTTTTTCTCACCTGGATCAGACCTACATGCCTATCACTGTTGCCTGGAGAGAGAAGGCTGAATTCACATGCTGGTTTGTCTTTTTTTCTTCTTCTTTTCTATCCAACCGTCCAACTATGACCCTGCAAAACAAAATTTAAGAGGGCAATGTGATATTCCATTTTCCCACCAAATTTCCATTTTATTGTGCAAAAGGAGATATATACACACATACATACATACATACACACACACACACATACAGGAATACAGGAATTTACCTTAGAATATTCAGATTCAAATCACTAGCAAGCTGTTAGTCATTCAACAAATGCTGCCATGTACAAAATAGTGGGCAGAACGAGAAAATTCCATTCTGAATCACCCCAATTTATTTATTTATTTTATTTATTTATTTGAGTTGTCAATCACTTACAAAATAATAGGTATAAGTATAAACATGAGTAATAATACAGAAAATAGGTACGATATTATTATAAGTGACAAACATTTTTTAAAATAAAATTAGCATTATAAGAAAAGTAAGCATGGATCAGGTATGTTCTTTATCCTGTACAGATGCAGATAGATAAACTCCACAAAACATCCATAACAAAGTACTTTTATTGGTTCATCAGGTATCCTCATAACTTACATTTGTGACTAAGTTCTTTAATGACCAATCCTTTGCATATCTGTCTTGTAGGTAAAAAGATGGTTTATCTTCTATCCTTTTCCCCTCATTTTGTAGCAGTAGAAATAGAACAGTTACCACGAGTCCGTGAGTTCAGCCAAGAGTGAGGATAACTCCTCCAACCCCTCAAGGGTCAATTTAGTGGCCAATCAGGAATACAGATGTGGTCACGTGATATGGACTACATTTCCCAGGATACCTTAACTACATTTACCATGATGCATTCCCTTAAGGGGACAGCTCACAATTGCTACCTAACTATCCAATTCCCATACACTGGCTGGACAGCACACTCCCCACCTGGAATTGTAAATTCCACTATTAAAAACAGAAAAAAAAATTAACTATAAACTAAGATAAGCAGTAGACAGTAATACTAACTAAATAGCATATAACTACATAACTAAGATAAACAGTTAGCTATATAACTAAGAAAAACAGTATACATTAATAAAGCATCAAACAAAGCAAAGCATGCAAAGCTTGAGGTTCAATCTTCAAGTTCAGCCTCTAGGTGCAAGTCTGCTGGTCACCTCTGGTGGCCTTTTAGGGTGTACAGGTACTCTTGGCAGCAAAGGTGAAAGTCTGGTGGTCGCTTCTGGCGACCTTTTAGGGTTGACAGGTATTCTTGGTACCAATCATGAAAGTCTGGTGGTCGCTTCTGGTGGCCTTTTAGGGTTGGAACGGTATTCTTGCTTCCATGGTGTCAAAGGGCATTGGGAAGGTGTTGGAAAGGGTGTTGCGTAGGCATATGCCCATGTAGAGCGTCTTAGTGGACGTCTGGTGGTTGTTGGCAGCCATTTAGGGTGTCCTAGCGAAAGTGTACTGATCGCTGGCAGCCTTTTAGGCTGGAACGGCATTCTTGTTTTCGATGGTGCTAAAGGGCGTTGGAAGGCTGTTGCATGGTGAGTCGGCGCACACTGCTGTGCAGTTGACACTCGCCACTGGTTCCAGGGGTGCCTCTGTAGCACGTTGAGGCTTCTTGTCCGGGGAAGGGTTATGTGTTGTCTGCTGTGGTGGCTCGGAGTCTGGATGCAGAGCGGCTGGATGCTCATTGCTGTCAGCATCCTCGTAGGTTCTGGCTTGAGGGCATGTGTTGTAGATGGTTCGTGGTTCTCCTCAGAGTACTTTATGAGGAGGTTGTGATCCCTTTTTACATGCACAGGTGGTCTCTCTTGCTGCCGGGTGTGGGTAGCACATTCGTCTTGACGCATATCTGCGTTAGAGTTGCCTTGAGGGTGTGGTAGGAACTCTTTTGCCTGTGGATTAAGTGTGGCAACTGTGGCGACTTGCACGTGTACTTGTTGAGAAATCTTTGATGTAACTGGTGGGTCAATTTGCTTGCCCAAGTAGGCCTTGACACATTTATCTGGGCTCTCTCTTTCCAACTTTCTGTGGTTTAAGTTGAAGAAGGCAGCGTTGGCCACCTTCTGCCATGCTGCAGCCCATGCTGTTTTTGCTGCCGTCTCTCTTTGTCGTTCAAATAACTCCACTTGGGCCTGAGTTTTGGCTATTTCTGCCTGTTGTTTGGCCATTTCTGCTTGTTGATTGGCCATTTCAGCCTTCTGCCGTATCGCTTCTGTCGTAATATGTAAATCTGCCTCTGCTGCTGCAGCTTCAACTTGGGCTTCTACAGCTCATTCAGCGTAACTTGCTGCTTTGGAGGACGTAGATGCACGGCTACGACGGGAGGATGTTCTGGAAGGATGGTGAGAGCTGGCAGCAGAGAATTGGCACAAGACACTAAAACCTGCCTGCGATCTAGCTGATTTGGGATGGAGGGAGGAGGCTTTCTTAGAATGGTGGGAGGAGGCTGCTTGTGATTGAAGACCTAGTTCGGATGTGGCCTTCTCCCTTGCTCCTTGTTCCTTTTGAAGCGCATCGAGGAGCGCTGCCTGGAGGGCTTTATTGCTTTCCTCAACACAGTCTTCGTGTTCCTTGTGTAGTTCCTCGAAGCATTCAATGTGTTCTTGGAGCTTTGGGTCACCCAGCTTTGACTGGATGAACTTGAGTTCACTTTCGCTGTCTCTCCATTGTACACGAAGGTAAGATAGATCATGTTGCAATGTGCAGATTATCTCGAGGGACAGCCTGTGTGTGGGGGTATCGCAGATCTTCTCCAGCTTCTTCCATGAATTTGTATGGCGTCGATACTCCCAGTCCCAATCTTCCCTCAAGTATGACTCCACATTTACATCAAGGGTGGGTGGAGAGTTCGAGTCCTCTGGTACTTTAGGGACATCTGTCATGGCTGAAGAAGTTGCCATGCTTCAAATTGGCAAAGGTGAATTTGGAAAATTTAGTGAGTTTCCATGCAATTCCCTTTTTTTGTACTAGGGTGCACTGCAAGCAGGTAGCAGAAAGTAGAATTGCTGCTGGATTTAATACTTGAGCACGTCGGTGGCACTGCAGACTCTGGGAGATGCTAGCACAGCATACAGTATGGCTGTTTCTAGGGTGCATTGTGAGCTTGCTACACTAGGGGGCACTAGAGGTTGCGTAGCGAAGTCTGAAGACTTGAGGCTAAACACAGAAATATGCATATCAAAGTCTGAAGACTTGGAGGGCTAAATGCAGAAATATACCTATTCTTGTCACTTGCTCCACAAGGTGGCAGTAGAGGGTCTGGAAGACGCTGTTGCTATGCCCATGTTAGGTTGTAGTTAATCTTGGAACCTTGAATTAAATTGATTAAATTGTACACAATAAATGCAAAAGGGGATTGTCATTGGATAAACACTCTGGTCAAATTTGAGAAACTGTGTAAAAAAAAATCAAACTCTGGGAAATTTCTCCTTGAGCCCCAGATGTAGCTGTGGGCTGCTTTGCTTAGGTCTGTTGGGTTCCAGTTAATCTTGGAACATTTGAATTAAATTGATTACATTGTCCACAATAGTTTCAAAAAGGGATTATCAATGCAAACACGTATTGGAAAACTCAGGGAGATTTTTCTTTGAGCCCCAGATGTAACTGTGGGCTGCTTTGCTTAGGTCTCACTTCCTTGTTGAAGAGAAAAAGAGGGGGGAATTCCTTACCCAACATCCAAGGGGCCTTTTAAAATATACATTGCACAGATAAAGAGAAAAAGAAGATCAAATTCCTTTGCTTGGGAGGAGAAAGGAAGTCACTGTAGGTTTTTACAAGCGAAGGAATGCTTTCTGCATTTGTAAAGAGCTTTGAAACAAAGGGGTCTGCCTCGTGGCAGGCCGTTTCTATGGTGACAAGGAATGCAAGGTATCTTTATTGTTCACTTCCTGCTGAACATAGGAACAGAAAAAGATAGAAAAAAAGGCAAACCCTCTCCAACTGCTGAGAATTGTAGCTTCAGTTTCTTATTTCCTTAGACCACAAGAAGAGATTACTTTGAGTTCCTTCATCTGCATTTGAAAAAAAAGTTTGTAGGTAGTAACTGGGGAGAAGCAGGGTTGATGGGTAAAACCTGGCTCCTCCCTTTGTTTTACAAATTGGCTCTTTCCCAGTTAGGAGTTGTAATTTGAGACACAGCACTTCCTTCACTGAAGAGAAAAGGAGGGGAAATTTGCCCCTTCCTGGCGTGATACAAAGACAAAGGAATCCAGCCTCAGTAGAGGAAGAGAAAAAAAAAGGATTGAAGGAGACAAATTTGATTGCGTTTGAAAGCATAGGATATTTGAAGAGTCTCTTGTGTGAAAGGGGAAGGGGGGGATTGCCCCTCCCTGCAATTCAAATTGAGGCACAGAGCTTAGCATTCTACATTCACTCCTGGTTTCAACATTACTTTGCTTTATCACAAATCCAAATTAACAGTCTGTATACTGATGGGCTTCAGGACTTCAAATTAAGCCATCTTTTTAGTGTTCTGTATCCTGTACAGATGCAGGTAGATAAACTCCACAAAACATCCATTACAAAGTACTTTTATTGGTTCATCAGGTATCCTCATAACTCACATTTGTGATGAAGTTCTTCTTTAATGACTAATCCTTTGCATATCTGTCTTGTAGGATGGTTTATCTTCTATCCTTTTTCCCTCATTTCACAGCGTTAGAAATAGAACAATTACCACAAGTCCGTGAGTTTAGCCAAGAGTGAGGATAACTCCTCCAACCCCTTGAGGGTCAATTTAGTGGCCAATCAGGAATACAGATGTGGTCATGTGATATGGACTACATTTCCCAGGATACCTTAACTACATTTACCATGATGCATTCCCTTAAGGGGACAGCTCACAATTGGTACCTAACTATCCAATTCCCATACACTGGCTGAACACCACAAGGCATCTTGGCATCCTCCAAATCCTTGGGACTTTAATATCATGATTCCAAACTATAATAAAAATGTTAAATCTACTCCAGGGATGTCAAACTCGATTCCATTGAGGGCCACATCAGGGTTGTGTTTGACCTCAGGGGGCCAGGGTCAGTGTAGCCAGGGTGGGCGTGGCCAGCTCAACATCACACATATTGG